AGGTAATCACCTGGCTTTTCAGAGTGAAAAGATGGCTAAGCTACTCATACACGGAGTCCAAGAAGTTCCATTCCCCTACTGAGGATATTTAAGATCTGATATGACCCAAGATACAATAGTTAGCATAATAATAGAATGTGTACTCTTAAAAATGAAACTCAACGAAATTTGAAAATCAGGTTTATTCTGAGAAATTATTCTATATACATATAGGGAGACCATTTTGATTCTAGAAAAAGCAAATGGCTCGAAGAAGCTAGGCACAAAGAGCCTTATAAAGAGTCATTGTTAGGTTTGGTCAAGTCATTTCCAACTCATAGCGACCCCACGTACAACAGAATGAAACACTGCCTGGTCCTGCGCCAGCCTCACAATTGTTATGCTTGAGCCCATTGTTGTAACCACTGTGTCAATCCATCTCCTTGAGGGTCTTTCTCTTTTTTGCTGACCCTCTACCAAGCGTAATGTCCTTCTCCCGGGACTGGACCCTCCTGATCACATGTTCAAAATATGTGAGACGAAGTCTCGCCATCCGTGCTTCTAAGGAGCATTCTGGCTGGACTTCTTCCCAGATAGAGAAGAGGAGGGAGAAATAGAGAAGACCAACCACTGGCTAATCTTGACATGATTGATTGAACCTTACTCTTCCGCTTTCACTGAGATCAAAATGATATCAGATCACAAGACGGTCTCCGCCCCTCCACTCAGCTCTCTTTTGAAATTCCAATTTAGTAAGCCTGCTTTCAAACACGAAAGAAAGAATTTGCGACTTTGTGTGAAGGAAAAAGCCGCTGGAGGATTGGTTTTAGTAGGGACTTCCTTAAAGTGAGTATTTGGTTTTGTGAGTAAAACCAAAAAAAAAACCCATTGCCTTCCAGTCGTTTTCAATTCATAGCGACCCTATAGGACAGAGTAGAATTGCCCCATAGGGTTTCCAAGGCTGTAAATCTTTACAAAAGCAGACTGCCACATCTTTCTCCTGCGGAGAGGCTGGTGGGTTCGAACTGCTGATCTTTCTGTTAGCAGTCGAGCGCTCTAACCACTGTACCACCAGGGCTCCTTTTGTAATAAAACCCAAAAATCAAAGCAAGAAATCTTCTATCAATTTCTCTCTTTGACAATACCCATTTAAAAACTTCTGATAATTGACGTTTTGTTTCATAGTAGCCTAACCCCAAAAAAGCCAAACCAGTTGTGCCATCGAGTCAATTCCAACTCATAGAGACCCTATAGGACAGAGTAGAACTGCCCCATAGGGTTTCCAAGGAGTGGCTGGTAGATTGGAACTGCCAACCTGTTGGTTAGCAACCAAGCTCTTGACCACTGTGCCACCAGGGCTCCCATAGTAGCCCTAGTTTTACATACATTAAATCTAAGACCAGTCTTCATACCTGTTAATAATTTAATTTTGTCAAAAGCAAACCAACTACATTTAAAATGACCATAGAAAAAATAGAGCTATATAATTCTAAACAGTCTAGTTGAAACCGCCTTTGTCTATTCAAGAACACTACAGGCATGCACATAAGACTATGAATTTAATAAAAAATAAAGAAAATCAGATGATAGAGAGCTGATTTGGTTTAAAAGCACACAATTTTCATTATTTGCACCCAACCCCAAATTGTCTTAGAATACAAAAATACTAAATACTAAAAAAGTATTTGTTGGTGTTAGGTGCCATGGAGTAGGTTCCAACTCATAGTCACCCTATGTTACAATAGAACAAAACACTGCCCAGTCCTGCACCATCCTCACAATCCTTGTCATGCTTGAGCCCATTTGGTATTTAGAATACGAAAAACTGAAATACTAAAATAAAGCCTGATAAAGTAACTGCTATTCTTTAACTCTTTGGAAGAAGTAAAGCAGCAATCAAATTGGTGTTTAATAACTATAATTCTGCAAGAACAATTTGTTTTTAATTGAAACTGGAAGGTGACAAGCTGAAGAAAAAGAAAAAGATCATGAACACTTAGTAATTGGTGAATATGACCAAATAGATGTGTGTCGTGGTTAGAACTGAGAGGAAGTAGAAGCGAGGTATCACAGGGGGCAGTTTCAGTGCTTAACCAACTGCTTTACTTGGAATAAAAATGACAAAAAAAGAAAAAGAAAAGGCAGTTTTCCAGGATCAGAAGACAGTCATGTTGCAGGTGCTCTTTAGAGAAGATAAAAACATGGACTCGACGTAGGACCCAACATGTATCTACACAGTGAATTTGTTTCTAAGAAATATGGAGAAAAAAAAAAAAAAACCAAGACTTTGCTCTCGTAGAAGGAGATATTTATAATGATGTGTAGGATACAAAAATAATTTCATAAGAGTATACTGTTTAGAGGTAAATTGACATTATAGTAAAAATAAACTATGCTAACCTTAGAAAATCAGATTTTATTCTCTCCTTTTACAGTTAGAAATCGAAGCCCCTCCTGGTACTGTCGTTGGTTATGTTGCACAGAAGTGGGACCCCCTTCTGCCTAAATTCGCAATCCAAAATGCAAACAAAGAAGACATTTTGAAAATTGTTGGTCCTTGTGCAACATGTGGCTGTTTTGGAGATGTGGACTTTGAGGTATGATTGACAAAGTGAAGGATGTTTTCTCGTAGGTCCTCATTGTTTGCAACGTAATTCAGTTCTTAAATATTCAAATCATGAAATATACCCGTTGCTCTTGTGTCAATTACAACTCATAGCGATCCAACAGGACAGAACAGAACTGCTCCCTCAGGTTGCCAAGGCTGTAAATCTTTAAGGAAGCAGACTGCAACATCTTTCTGTTGCACAGCGGCTGGTGGGGTCAAACCTCCCACCTTTCATTTAGCAATGAAGCACTTCACCACGGCACCACCAGGGCTCCTTCTGAAATATACTAGAAATAAATTTAGAAAATAATACACTTGTGAAATAATGTAATAAGCCCATATTGTACATGCCAATAGTAAAGAACTCAATTCCAGAGATACTAACTCAAAGAATTTTTTTAAAAAGTTATATAATTTTACTAAATTGAATATAATGATGGTTATCAAATAAAAATTTTCCTGAAGTGTGTTTAGCTAGTTTCATGTGTTTTACGAGCAAAACTACTATTTTTTTCCTTATTTAAAACAATAACTGTCATTATCATAAATGTGTCCACGTTTTAAACACCAAAATTTATGTGTGTGTAGACGTTTGCCTTTATTAGATGATCCATATTTTCCAGATTTGGGGAAATAAAAGTGTGTCCTAATCTTTACACTGTTGATGTATCTGCAATTACAGCACATGTGGCAGTCTTGTGTGGTGAAAATAGTTAAGCTCTCAACTACTAGCAGAAAGGTTGGCAGTTCAAATCCACGCAGAGGAGCCTTGTAAGACAGGCTTGGTGATCTACGTCCTTGAAAACCCCATGGAGCAGTTCTACTCTACAGAACGTGTGGTCGCCATAAGGCAGAATCAACTTGACAGCAAGTAACAACAGCAGCAGCAGCGCACGCGGTGTAAAGCAAATATCCGTAGTTTAGAATCACTTAATTTACATCGTCTTTTCTCTACCCCTAAACCAAACCAAAACCATTGCTTTTCAGTCAATTCCCACTCATAGTGAGCCCATAGGGTTTCCAAGGCTGTAAATCTCTACAGAAGCGGACTGCCACATCTTTCTCCCGCAGAGCCACTGGTGGTTTCGAACTGCAGACCTTTCTGTTGGCAGTTGAGCGCTTTAACCACTGAGCCACCAGGGCTCCTTTCTCTACCCCTAGTGGTCACGTATCTCAGTTCAGATCTCATCTGAGAAGCACACTTCATTAAAACGGCACTCATTTAAAAGCTATGTTCATAAGACTTGCGAAATGCATTCTTAAAACTATCTCATATAAACATATATATAATCTGAATGTTAAAAAAACAGGCAGTTGCAAATTCAATCTGTTGCAACATGTATTATCTTAACAGCTTTACATAGCAATGCACCTTAGGCAGAGAAGAAGGTCTGCTTTTAAAGTTTATATTTATTTTTCTTTCATTCATTCATGTATATCTCACCTCAGACATTCAGTTTGTGGGACTTTAGGGAACACTATTCACATAGAATATGGTGTAAATGTTCAAAGTGAACTGTCCTAACTCCACCCATTCCAAAATAATTTGAAGGGTTTTCCTGAGCGTATAGTACCAAAACAGGCCTTACGATTGAGGAGAACTTAGACATAGGGTTTTGGTGTTGCTGGTATATAGAAGCCCTGAATACCTTTCTCTATTTTCTGTCTTATAACACCCCCATACAGAAAGTGAAAGTTTATACTAAGTCACTTTCAGCACCAGGATGAGAAAGGAGGTAAGCAAATGAATTGTTCATAAAGTTGATTTGTAGACTTCTCGCAGCTAAGAGGAGCCCTGGTGGCATAGTGGTTAGGAGCTGGGCTGCTAACCAAAAGGTTGGCGGTTGGAATCCACCAGCAGCTCCATAGAAACCCTATGGGGCAGTTCTTCTCTGTCCTATCGGGTCACTATGAGTCGGAATCGACTCGATGGCAATGGGTTTGGTTTTTGGTTTTGGTATAGCTGAAAAGGACTGATAGGCTTTCGAGGTCAAATTGGTCTGGAGTTCCTGCATGTCACATTTGCTCTGGACTGGTTTTCTACACAAAAGTAGGAGTTGGCACTAGTTAGAAAGGAATATCCTAGTTAGTGTCTGAGTATAATATAAAAATGAGATTAAGCAAAGGCTGATAATATGTGTGTTAATAATTTTAAAATCTTATAAAAATAAAGTTCACAAATTGTACCTAGAAAATAATTTAATTCCTTCTAAAATCTTTCTCAAACATATAGTCGTCCTTCTTCTTCTACTTTATTTTTCTTTAAATAGAGAATTTAAGTTTCAATCTGGACCTTCATGTTTGGAACATATAACTGAGATTATATAGCTGCTGCCATCTTGTGGTGGCCTGGTCTTAATTATGTATTGCTATTATCTTCTCCAACTACCTACCAAAAAAGAAAAGAAAAAGGAATTAAGATGGATTACAAAAGTGTTGGAAAGGCAAAATTGGAGAAAAGTAAGCTGGAAGATTCGATCTACAAACCTATTCTTACATAAAGGAATGAATAACATCCACATTTTCATTTAGAGACTGCAATAAAATAAGTCATATCTCTCATGAGGTAAGCATACTAAGAAATGTAAAATCACCCCTTTCCTTCTTCAAATTTAGTATCTCTTATTGTCTTTTCAAAGGTGAAAACCATCAATGAAAAGCTTACAATTGGGAAGATTTCAAAGTACTGGTCAGGATTTGTAAATAACGTCTTTACGAATGCTGACAACTTCGGAATTCACGTGCCTGCAGATCTAGATGTGACAGTTAAAGCAGCGATGATTGGTGCTTGTTTTCTCTTGGTAAGTGTCTTAGTCATCTAGTGCTGCTATAACAGAAATACCACAAGTGGATGGCTTCAACAAAGAGAAGTTTATTCTCTCACAGTCCAGTAGGCTGCAAGTCCAAATTCAGGGTGTCAGCTCCAGGGGAACGCTTTCTCCGTCAGCTCTGGAGGAAGGTCTGTGTCATCAATCTTCCTTTGGTCTGGGAGAGTCTCTGCTCAGGAACCTCAGGTCCAAAGGATGTGGTCTGCTCCCAGCACTGCGTTCTTGGTGGTATGAGGTTCCCATGTGTCTCCACTCGCTTCTCTCTTTTATATCTCAGAAGAGATTGGCTAAAGACACTATCCAATCTTGTATACCTCATCAGTATAACTGCCCCTAATCCATCTTATTACATCATAGGGATAGAGTTTATAACACATAAGGAAATCACATCAGATTACAAAATGTTACGTAATCATTCAATGCTGGGAATCATGACCCAGTCAAATTAATACATACATTTTTGGGGGGACGTAATTCAATCCATGACAGTACGTATGGTCTTAGAGAACATGAAACATTTATTCTCCTTCTCACTTACCAATTACTATAGAGCCAATCCCATTTTGCATAGCTTTTGACTCCAAAGAGTAAGTTGTATGCATAGAAGGCTAGTTGGGGACCAATATTCATCAGAAATCAGAATTTAGGCACCTTCATTTCTACTAGGCAGCCCTACTAAAAACAAACAAACAAGGAAACCTGTTTCTCTCGAGTCTATTCTGACTAAAAACCCCATGTGTTACAGAGTAGAACTGCTCCATAGGGTTTTCTTGGTTGTGATCTTTAAAGCAGCAGATTGCCAGGCCTTTCTTCCAAGAGCTCTTCTCCAGTGGTTCTTAAACTCCCTCTTCCTCCAGGATTGGTGTCCCATCACAGCCTACTTCTCAGTTCCTTAAAAACCGAGCTACCATCCCCCTTTCAACTTCAGCGTGGTTTTTTGGCTTATTTTCACTTTAACTGACAAATAGCATATAAAGAAACATCTCATTATTTATCCTGAGTAAATTTCAGGATTGAGTCATTGTTTAATAATGAGCTGGGTGATATTCAGAATGTGAAAAGTGCAGTTTTCATGCCTTCCCAACAAGTACTTAGATACAGGAGATGATATGGCTGAGCTAATATGTACCAAAACCGAAACCAAACCCATTGCCATCCAGTCGATTCTGATTCATAGCGACCCTGTAGGACAGAGTAGAACTGCCTATAGGGTTTCCAAGGAGCGGCTGGTGGATTCAAACTGCCGACCTTTTGGTTAGCACCAGGGCTCCTAAGATGCACCAGTTTCCAGTATTACTGAGGTATTATGTCCTTGTCCTTCCTTTCCAATTTATAATTCCATTGAAAACATTTTCTTCTTTGGTGTGGAGACTGGTGATACAGGAGAACAGAAGTCACAGAATGTCTGTGCCAAAATGCTCGGCTGTCTCCTGTTCCAAATTTCCTTAATATCTCCTTTATTTCTTGTCATTTTCACTGCACCCATGAAAACTCATGGAATTTAAAAAATAAACTTGGGCTCTTCCTCTCATATTTTGTTGTCTTCCAGGGTTTTGAAACTCCAATCTTACGGTTATATCAGTATGCGCTACTGGGAAATAAAATAACCCCTATCTACTTAGTTTCTTCTAAAGGCACTTGGAAAATTCATTAACTAAAAATAATCCCCTAGTATAGTGACATCACTGATGAAAACTTAGTTTAATACAGAAAAAAAAAGGATTACTTCTTCAAGAGCTTTAGAGGAATTATTTTAACTTACTGTTTCTTTATCATTGGGAGAAGGCAGAATTGATATATGTAGAGTGCTAGTTTTTTGTTTTTTGTTTTTTTAACTTACTAAATATAGCCACTTACCCTCCATTCCTATTTTCATCCAAATCTAACCAAACTAGTCAATCTTTCCTGTCACCTAATATTTCTTCTATTCCCTATTCTCCTCTACCCACTTGACAGGGCTTTTAATTTGTCACTTCCTGCTCACACTTCTCATTTGTGATTATTCTACACTTTAGCACCAACCCCTCCAACCACACGCACACATACACACACACACACACACACACACACACACACACACACACACACACACCCTTCTCCCAAGACCTTAATTCGACCTTTCTGATTAGGCCCCATGCTTGATGTTTATATTAAAATGCAGATAAACTTTAAATCTGCCCCATCTACCTATTTTATGTAAAATGCTGATGGCAAAAATGTACTGTCAACAATAGAACTACAATTTTCTGTATTTTAAACTTTACTGGATTTTTATTATTATTATTATTAATAGTTTTCATAAACCCTCTAAACACCTATTCTATAAAAAAGTATGCTTTCTCTATTTCTAACCCATACTCTCTGAGAAAATGATGAGAGGTACGTTTAATAAAGGTTGAGCTAGGTCCTCACTACCAAAAATGTGGTCCAAAGTGTAACATCTGTACCACCTGGGCGCTTCTTAGAAATGCAGAATCTCAGGCCCCACCCCGGAACCATGACACCAGAATCTGTATTTAAACAAGATCCCAGGTTGAGTCCTCTATACACTGTAAGTCTGAGAGGCACTGAGCTAGATAAAGCCACAAACATCTGAAAGGATAACTTTGTCACTCCAGTCTGAGGGAGAAGCAAAGACACTGAGAAGAGCTAATGGCTCCCATCCATTTCTTTCTTTCTTTCTTTCTTTTTTTATATAATATAAAACACTTGCACTCTTTTCCCAAGAGAAGTTTTAAAACAATTTCTCACATGTTGTACCCAAGATAAATTCCTTACTTAATTCTTAATTCTATATGTAATTTGATGGGAAGAATTATGTTTTTAATTTTTAAATGTTGTCTCCATTTTACTAACTTTGGGTGAGAGGCTTGTGATAAGAAAGCTGCCGGTATGAGGATACGCCCTGTTCCAAACAGCAAAATTCACAAATGCAAACTAATTTTTGGTCTCCTCTGGTTCTAGGCTACCACTTCACAACTAGCTGGCCCCCCCATCCCTTGCCAACTTCCCTCGAGTGTAGTCTTCAGGATCCGCCAGATGATTACCTACTTACTGACCACATAGTCCATGATGATATATCTAATTCTTGCTCAAAGGTTGGGTTCTATTACAATTCCTGCACTAACCCAGAATGTACTAAAATCTAATTCTGCAGAGTCTTGATCACCCCAAATTTTAACTGGTGATACCATACTAATTCAGACAAGATTTTCAAATTACTTGTCCTCTGAAAATTAGACACGTAATTGTCATGAAGCTTAAAATCTTCCTATTTTTCTCCTACTGATAAGTCCCATGTTGCTGGAACACCACTGGGCAACATAATTGCTTTACCTAATCAAAGCTTACATGTCAGAATTTTAATCTTAATTGTTGCCTTTTTTGTAAATGTACTCATATTTACCGTTTATGTATTTGTAGGATTTTATGTTCTTTGAACATTCCCTGGCCGGATTATAACAAGCAATACGATGAAAATAATAAAATATGCAGAACATATTCCAGTAAGTAAAAGACAAGTTTAAATGATCTCTTTCCCTTTTGAAGATGTCTATATTTGACACTCTCTAATTCTTTTTCTCCTAGGAATCCCTTGGGCTCTGGATTTCATTTCCAAATGGTTTGAGTATCAGCTTTTTTTTTGTAACAAAATGTTAATTATGGTATTTATTAAAACACAGTTTAATGAGGCAATTATCTAGTTCTGAATGTATGATATCGAAATACAAGATTACTGGCTGAGCACGAGGTTGCTTTGTGAGATTACCATTCTTCCCTCTTATCCTTTTGAAGTTAGTGCATGGGTAAGCATGGAACTGAGAAAGTAAGGCTTGCAGCTTAGCTGATGAAAATTCAATGTTTAGAGAACGCTTTGAAGTTTTTCTGGTACTAAGGCTGGTTACTAATCAGAAGGACTGAATTTTTAAAATATGTTTTCAAAAGTAGTCTCAATTTTATTTCTTAATTTCCTTATTGTAGAGAGATATTTTTGCTTTACACTGCAAAAGTTAAAAGTGAAGTAAATAATATGTTTAAAGATGCAGAGGAAGATAGGGGAAATCAATTCGTTCTAGGGACAAGAGGCACACTTACATTCCGAAAGTAAGCTAATATTTACAAACCAAAGTGTGCTTTAAATACCTAGTCTTGCCAGAGGTTTAAATAAGTATGTAAATAGACTTCAAGTCAGTAAAAGCAGTGGTAAGAGAGCAGGAATTACAGCTATTTGCAGTGAAAGTTTAGTCAATAAATGAATCTCAGGCTTTAAAAAATAGACAACTCCGGGCCTTAAAACAAGAAAACAAAAATAAACAAATAAAACCTTAATCCACGAGGCAATGCAGAAGTCAGGAAGTAGTGAAGTCAATTAATTAATGATTTGTGCTTTAATGTTTTTGGAGTCCTCCAGATTACTATGCCCTAGTTATCTACATATAGCCAAAGCCCACACAGAAGAATTTTTTTTTTTTTTTAAGAAATGATGATAGTTTTTCTCCCCTTTTCAGAAATGAAGGAGTAAGTTTGTATTAAGCAAGGCATCACGTAGCCTTTCTGGTTCTACTTGAGAATTATACAAATAAAAAACCAAAAAACCCGTTGCCGTTGAGTCAATTCCAACTCATAGCGACCCTATAGGTCAGAGTAGAACTGTCCTGTAGGGTTTCCAACGAGCAGATGGTGGATTCGAACTGCTGACCTTTTGGTTAGCAGCCGAGCTCTTAACCACTGCATCACCAGACTATTACCAAATTTCCACCCACGTATAAAAGTGTTTAGAGAAACTTCAGGCAATTCTTGAGAAAAGGGAGTGTATTCCAAGAATCTGTTACTAAGTTAACTGTTTGAAATTGTTGCTAGCTGCTGTCAAGTCGGCCCCAACTCATGGTGACCTCATGAACAATGGAACAAAACACTCTACCGTCCTAGGAGATCAGACCGCTGTGATCCATAGGATTTTCATGGGCTGATTTTTCAGAATTAGGTTGCCAGGCCTTTCTTCTGTGCTTGAAATTATAAACCTATTATCTCCTAGAAATACCATTATCTGTGGTAGTTAAGTTCATAAAATAGCCTACATGTATCAGATTAGTGTTGGGTTCTTGGGTAAGGACTTATGTTGTATAAGATGGAAAGGAAAAGAGTCTGTTTCCCATTTTCTCGTTCAGTTTCCTTTAGTATTTTTTGTCCTTACTTTGCACCTTGTTTGATAGCCCCCTTCCTTGGCTTGCAGAAACTATTTATTGCCTCAAATCAACCATAAAAGATCTTCTCCTTGTAGGGTGGAACAGTTTAGGCCTTGCGCACCAAAAATTACCATGTCTCAAAATAACACCAACCTTTCTCCCAGTCATAGGTCCCATTCCTTCCGTGTAACTGATATTACCCACGTGTTGGGAGCAATGCAGTCATGGGAGGAAAAAACAGTCCTGATGTGAGTGAGATAGACATCACCTTGAATCTAGCTTTTCTATTTGCTAGCCATGTAACCTTGAACTTAGCCTTTCTGAACCACCTCAGGTTTCCCATGCGTTGCTCTTCTGCGGTGATGGTTAAGGGGGTCTCAGCATCTCCTCCCTTTCCCTTCAACACCATTTCCCCTTAAAACAGCACTTTACTATGCAAACTGTTCCTGATACTTGAAGCCTAGAACTAGTGGAAAGAGCTATTCAACTCCTAGAGAATCACTAAAGGTGAAAATCCTTCTTAGACTATAGCACTCATTTTAAAATTGGCTACATTTAAGTAAAAACCTGCTTTTGTGCTTTGCTCCGGAATTGGTATATCACAACACACTAGGCCCATCCTCTCTCCCTTTCCTCATTAAAGGGGAAGTTGATCTTTGTATCTCTTCTATGCTCTATTTTTCCATTTACCACCAAACATAAATCCCTGTGAGACTAGTGAGATCCTTTGATTTTCAGTGAAAAGCATGCAGCTCTAGAACGAGGCAGGTCCTATGAACATCCCTGTTCCCTGGTTTACGGCCTTTCCCTGGTTCCCCAGGCTCTCAGAGCACAGACTCCAAATCTCTTTACACAGAGATATATGGGGAAAGATTTGACCAGATTCGAGGGCCTTTCATTCCTTAACTAATTCATTCATTTAATAAACATGTATCGACTTCCTCCCATATGCCAGAAATATAGTCCCTCCCCTTATGGAATTGGAACCCTCGTGGCTCAGTGGTTAAGAATTTGTCTGCTATCTGAAAGGTCAGCAGTACAAATCCACCAGTTGCGGCTTGGAAACCCTATGGGGCAATTCTCTGTTTATAGGGTCACTATGAGTTGGAATTGACTCAACAGCAATGGTTTTTTTTTTTTGGTCTTATGGAATTAACAGTTCAGGCGAAGAGAAGGTATTAGTCCAATAACAACACAAACAAAGATTAGATTTCAAATATGAAAAGTGTTTAAAGCAGAAGGAGAAGTTGCTAAGACGGGAATATTTGACCTGGTCAAGGAGTGAAGGACTGATAGTGGGTTGAATATATGAAGAATAAGAAAGAATTAAGTAAAGAGGGGAGGAAGGAATTTTTGAGGCTGAGGCGCTAACATCCGCACATATTCTGTGATGAGGGAAGAGGAGGGCATGACAAGTTCAAGTGAAGGCCAGTGTGGCTGGAATTCTGACAGTGAGGTGCAAAAGAGTACAAGATGAGGATGAGAAGGGCCTGTAAACCCAAAAAAACCCGTTGTCTCGAGTTGATTCGACTCATAGTGACCTACAGCACAGAGTAGAACTGCCCCATAGAGTTTCCAAGGAGCACCCAGTGGATTTGAACTGCCAGACCTTTTGGTTAGCAGCTATAGGTCTTAACCACTACGCCACCAGGGTTTCCAATTAGCATAGGTATCCAGTGAAAATTTCTAAGGAGAAAATTGACTGAGTGATGCCAAGTGTGACTAGATCGGTGAGAGAGCCAGACAGGATGCTCAGGGACCAGTTATTAAGTTCCTGTAGTAGTTTAGGTGACAAGCAATGTAGCTTGGAATAATGTGGCAGTCATGGAAAGGAAGACAAGTGAGCAGATTCAAGATATATTTAGGAGGTAAAATCAACTTTACTTGATGTTGGGTTGAAAATGGATGTGAAGGAGAAAAGGGACTTCTGACCTGTACTATTTACTGACAAAGTGAACATTAGAAGAGAATCTGGTTTTGGGAAAAGAACATGGGTTCAGTTTTAGATATGTTGAATTTGTAATGCCTATATGTCTTCCAAAAGCAGGTGTAAAATAGTCATGTGGACATCTTTTCCATTCAGTGTATTTCTGAAGTGAAGGATGAATTTATGAAAGCAATGAGGACCCATGTTGCTGTGTGCCATCAAGTCAATTCCAACTCCTAGCAACCCTATATGACAGAGTAGAACCGCCCCATAGGGTTTCCGAGGCTGTAATTTTTACGGGAGCAGATCACCAGATCTTTTCTCCTGAGGAGGCTAGAGGGTTCAAATCACCAACCTTTTGGTTAGCAGCCGAGCACTTAACCATTGAGCCACCAGCTCTGGTTAACTTCACAGTTATCCCTAACAAATATTTTAAGACATAGCAGGATAATGAGTTTATTCATTTATTTAATGATTACTGTATGGAATTACTTCTATGTACTAGGCACTGTGTTAGGCACTGGGGATATTACGCTGAATGTACATTGTCCCAACTCTACAGATTCATTCAACAAGTATTCATTATGCTAAGCACTGATGCCAGCATTAAGGTTCAGCAGTAAATAAAAGCAACAACATGCCTATCCTTGTGGAGCTTACATTCTAATAGAGATGGATAATAATCCAAAAGATAAAAACAAATGTGATCATAAATAAATCCATTGCCGTCAATTCCAACTCACAGTGACCGTATAGGACAGAACTGCCCCATAGGGTTTCCAAGGAGCAGCTGGTGGACTCAAACTGCCGACCTTTTGGTTAACAGCAGAGCTCTTAACCACTGAGCCACTAGGGTTCCATGGGTGTTGATAAACACCAATGAAGAGTCTATCACTCAGTAAGGAAAACAGGAAGCTAAATGTATTCCTTGCTTAAGCAAGAGAGAACTGTGTTCATAAGACATAGCTTCTAAGCAAAGAAGAAAGCTTATCTTTTTTAGGGTTTTGAAAAGAATGGAGGTTAGAGGCTGCCTCCAGTTTAGCTGTGGAAATGTGTTTACCAGAGTAAGACTATTGCTGATTGACTTTTAGAAGTCTGTTCACTGGAATGAAGCTATTGATAATCAGCTGACTTTCAGAAGTGAGTTGGAGGGAAAGTCATTGATTGACTGGCTTTCAGAAGTGTGTGTACTAACGTGAAACTGTCACTGATTGATTAAACAGATTGAATAATGCTTTTGATTATTATTCATTGCTATGTTGTTGTGTGCCATCGAGTTGAGTCAACTCTGATTCATAGTGGCCCTATATGACAGAGTAGAACTGCCCCATAGGGTTTCTTAGGCTGTAATCTTTACGGGAGCAGATCGCCCGGTCTTTTCTCCCATGGAGCCACTAGTTGATTCAAACCACTTACCTTTCAGTTAGCAGCCGAGCACTTAACCATTGTGCAGTTCTTCCCTAGGAAAGTGTTAACTTTATATTCACAAAACTATGAAGAAAAGTAATTTGGGATAAAGAAACAGAGAGAAATGGTAGCTGCTGTTACATTTGAGAAGAGACCTAAAAAAAAAAAGAGGCAA